CAGATCCCCTGCAATGAAGTCGTTGGCTATGATGCTGTTGATGAAGAAGGCGTCGATGATGATGTCCGTGAATTATACGCCCGGGAATCACTAGCAGTAGTGAATCGAAACGACTGTTCCTCAAACAACAGTCTAGAACTACAGTCCCGGAGATTTGGAGGATAATTGATCCAAATTGAGTGAACTTTCATTTACAGTGCTGGCAATGTGTGGATAGGTTTGAGTTATTGAGGACACGTGTTAAAAACAGTTGCATTTAACATATTTTAATTATTTTTTCCTTCATTGTAATCAACATTTTTTTTCTTTTTGATCATTTGAGAGAGTGTGTGTGTGCGTGATTGATTTGTTTAATTATTTTTTCAGTATTTTTTCGTAAATAAATCTTGTTTTCTTTAAAGCAATTCTTTGTTTTGATTTGAAAAGGAAGCCTATATCATTCCACGTTCGAGTACATGTACCTGCAGTTTATGACTGAGCAAGTTACTGAGTAAGTGTAGGTATTAACTTCTAAAGTTATGTACAGATAACCCTCATTTTTAACAAAGAAATCACATGCACCCAACTTTAGTACATGTAATGTATTTGAAATATACTGGAAATTATGTCATTCCGAATTTTAACCGAGGGTCTGAGAGATGTGCCACAGTTATCTCGCGTAAAGGCATAAAACAACACAGTATCTGTAGGAGTTAAAAGATATACTGAGTATAACATAATCTATTAAAAAAAAAAAAGATACACAGCAAATTAACAATTTATGTAAATGTATAGGGTCAACAAAATCAATACTTTCCTTTTCTCTTCTGATATTGTGATGATCATGAGATGTGACAGCAAAAATAGATGGTGCAACTTAGCACCTCATATATTTCAGTAGATACATGTATTAGTAAAAAAAAAATTGCATTTGGAATTCATTTGCCTTGTAATTTTTCATGCAAATTATTAATGGTTTTGCTGAGATTTGCCTGCATAATTTTAACTGAAACAACCTTTTAACATGTGCATTGTAATTAAATGAAGAAAAATATAATAACAATATGCTAGAAGAGACGAACTTATTGAATCAGTTTGAAACATTTAAATGTACTTTAATTTATTCAAGTTATTGTATTAATGTAACTTTTTGGTATGATCTCAAAGTGGGAAAGACGCAATTTATTTTCTATGGGTTTAGTCAAATAAAACATTTTTACTAACCGAAGGGTAGGACAAAGGAATACATGAGATTTTATATGCGCTTACCTATTCAGGCGTGTAATTTAACTCTTGGAAGAAAGATAAATTTGAGTTGCGTTCTCCTCCATGGCATTATCTTTTAATGATTAATTCAAGAGGCCTTCATTAATGTGAAATTTTATATGAATAACTGCTAACCTGTACAACCTAGATATTCACGACATGAAATTAATACCTATACACGCATATTTAAGAAGGCATATCGAATGAAGTGGTGTTTTCTTCCATAGAACTTCATAGGTAGATAGTATTTTAGTTGTGGGCTGATTATAAAATTATCATTTTTCTCTGTAGCGGATGATTGAATCAATTCGTTAAGTTTGGTCATATCTTCATTCTTTACAATTTATTTATGATCATGTAAGTAAAAATATATGTACAGTTAACATAATTAAATTTAAAACACAGATGTATTTAGAATAATTAGCGAAATCATGTCAGATACCTTTGACAAAATAACTTCAGTTGATTTAATAATAACACAATTCGAGTTTCACAGTATTTAGCAAATACATGCAGTTTGTGTCTTTAGAAGAATGATTGTAATTTGTTTTCCTATTTATTCTAATATAAGACTTTAATCCCACATTGTTGCCAAAATCTGTCTCTTGGAGCAAAGATTTGAAGAATGTTAAATCGAGATTATGACGAAATGTTTTGCATGTGAAAAAGTTTCCATGTTCCTGGTCCAGTGGTTTTTGAGAAAAAAAAAATATTATGGAAGATATTTTCCTGTAAATTCAAGTGTTAAAATGTTCTACCACACTGAGTCCCAAACCTACATGTGGTGCCATGATTTGAACAATTAAGAGTGTACACTATGACAGTAACTTTCTAATGTACATAATTTTTCATTATACTTGCATGTCTGAATAGAGAAACATATTAAATTTCATGTGTTCTTTTGTCCTACCCTCCGGTTAGTTTTATTTGACTAAAAGATGCAAAAATTGCCCTTGGGATTGATTTCTCTTAGCTTGTGATTTTTCATGCAAATTGTCAATGCTTTTTGATGAAATTTGCCCGCATAATTTTAACTGAAACAGCCTTTTAACATGTGCTCTGTAATTAAATGGAGAAAAATATAATAACAATATGCTAGAAGAGACAAGTAGAAATTATTGAATCAGTTTGAAACATTTAAATGTACTTTAATTTAATCAAGATATTGTATTAATGTAACTTTTTGGTATGATCTCAATGTGGGAAAGACGCAATTTTAGTTTCTATGGGTTTAGTCAAATAAAACTTATCTAACCGAAGGATAGGACAAAAGAACACATGAGATTTAATATGTGCTTCCCTATTCAGACGTATAATTAAAGTGACAATACGGCGCATCTCTTCAAAAAACAGACTTGTTAAATTTTTCCTATTGGATTTGGAATTATTTTCATACTCATAAATGTATACACTTTCAGAAAATTACAAATTTCATAAGTAAATAATTCTTATTATTTCATCAAAATTAATAATTTTTTATGGTACATAAATATATACAACGTGTTCGAGGTTCCACATTCCATGCTATTCACGCATGCGTATAGTTTTCATAAACAAAACAACATGGTAAGAGAGGGAATCCGGCCGGTAGGCCTGCTACATTGACAAAGTCGAACAAAAACGAACAAAACCAAAAATAGGGCTTGGAATCAAAAAGCAACTTTCCTGACAAAAATTTAGTTGGGAGGTCAATATAATCATAGATGAAGAAGAAACGGGATCTCGGCGACATTCACGTGGGGCTCGTGAAAGTTGTATCCTACAGGTTTGTTGATACATGCTATCATTTCTCGTATCTCTATGGCTTTCTAACAAAAAAAAATCAGTGTAATCTCAACAATGACATATACAAATTATTGCCATTTGAAGTGCAAATTGTATGTGAACTGCAGAAAGATATTTTGTTTGACATTTTGCCGCGATGACGTATGATTTTGTGGATTTTCCTTTCCTGCATCCCAATGCACAAAACGTCAACATTTGTACTTAATCATGTTAAATTCGTCTGAATACAGACTAAAATGTTAACTATAATTAATTTACCGGAGAGTTAAGATATTTTGATTCTAAGAATTTCTTTTACCTAATATTCCATTATGATTGTAAACCCTATACATTGTATGCACGTGCTATTTTAGAATTCAACAGATCTAAATTGTACGACCCTTGATTACCAACAGATTCTAATTAAGTTAATTTTGTATAAGAAGCGTATAAGAAGCGAATATTTATTTTTTTTCTAAATGCTTACTTCAACTATTTACCTTATTCCTGAATGATATATTGGGTAAATTTGAATGAAAAAGCACACGATTTGCAGCCGTATTGCCGCTTTAAACACTTAAAATGTGAAATTTTTTACGAGGGCTGTTCAATAAATAATGTCCTCGGTGCTCGGAAAGAAGCAAACGACGCTTTTCAATGATTTAATCTTCATGATTTTACTTATTGATCTCTTTTAATTAAAACACATGTCCGTAACAATTTTTATCCAATTTCTGATTGTTTTTAGAACTCATTTTTGGGTATACCCCTCAGTATAATGGAAAATGGCAGATCCAATGATTTCCTGGACTTGTTTTTTCCTTCTGAAAGATGTTTTTTTCAAGTTTGGAAATAGAAAAAAGTCAAAAGGTCAAAGATCTGGCAAATATTGTTAATGTTAAAAAACATTAACTTTCTGTTGATCCCGAAAAACCCTTTACTCTCTAGGGCATGCTTTGGTTTGGACGCTGTCATGAAGAAATTCAATGCAGTGGATTCCTGATTCTGGGTCCTTCCTCTAACAAACCTTCCGATTTTTTGGCAAAAAATTGCTTTCTAGACTCCTCCAAATATCAAACAGTCTCTCCGAAAACGAATTTGAACAACAATACCACTAATATTTAAGAAATCTGTCTTTGTGCTCTTGCATACCTTTGCTTTTTGTCTGACCTTCGCCGTTTTTATAAAGTACATCATATGGTAAATTTTGTTTTGATTATTTTTAAGAAAGAGATTTATGTTCCAATATCTGTTTAAATATAAAACAAACGTGGATAACTACACTTACTGATATTTTAAAATATTTGTTAAGACTTTCGTACACGCTGTCGTTTTCACTAATTTTTTTCAAAATATAGGGTGATCTTTGAGTACCTAGCTTTTTTACTTTCAAACGTTTCTTAAAAACAGTGTAGATTACTCCCGATATGAAATCTATCAAATTTGCTATGTGTCTTAAAGTCAATCATACATCATCAAATATTATTTGTTGAAATTTGGCAAACAGTATATAAGTCATTGAAATCTATCTGAGCATTTGTCTATAAATCAGGCATCGGCTGCTGTAAATGACACATATTTCAGTGAATATTTCTTTGGAATTCTTAACAAGTTTTACAGCAGCTTTAATGTAGCTTTTATTTTTCACTGTAGTTTACCGGTTCTTTACCATTCATTTATAATGCAGTGTCTCGAAAAACCCTTGTTTCCCAGCTTCTCACGATGAAACTATGTGATGAAAAGTATATAAATTCAGTAAAGATTTAATAACGAGGGAAAGTCAAGTTTAATGTCATATGATATCTGTATTGTATTTCATACAGTTCAGGAAATTATTTATTGAACAACCCTCGTATGAATAACTGCTACCCTATACAACCCTGATATTCACGACATGAAATAAACACCTACATACACGCATATTTAAGAAGGCATATCGAATGAAGGGGTGTTTCCTTCCATAGAATGTTGTACTTATTTGGTAGATAGTTTTTAAGCTGTGCGCTGATTATAAAATTATCATTTACTCTGTAGCGGATGATTGAAACATTTCGTTTGGGCATATCTTCATTCCTTACAATTTATTTATGATTATGTACTAATATTTACATTTGCTAATGTCTTTCCTTATATAACACTGATAATAAAATTGAAATTCAATTTTCAATGACATGCAGTCGGTCACATGATCAGACTTTCTTGCGTACGGAAAGCAAACTGCAAGAGCAATTTGGAAAGTTATGACTGTGACGTCACATAACGTCGTAGATACGTTACGTTGCATTTCAAAATCAAAGTCTAAATAATGCCTATATTTCTTTGTAACATGAATAAAAACACAAAATATCAATATAAGAAATAAAATATCAGTTTTAGAGTTTCATTGGGGTATGACATGAAGTCGGTACGTGATCAAATTTACTAAAACGCCCTTCGAGCGTTATAGAATTTGATCACGTGACCGACTTCATGTCATACCCAAATGAAACTCTAAAAATGATATTTTATTTCTTTATTAAGTTAAATTAAATGTATCTAATAAATAATATAATTAAATTTTAATTACAGATGTATTATAAAAGTATTAAGAATAATTAGCAAGATCACGACAGATAGCTTAGACAAAATAACTTCAGTTAATTTAATTATAATAAAACAATTCGAGTTTCACAATATTTAGCACATTACAGGCAGTTTGTGTCTTTAGAAGAATGATTGTAATTTGTTTTGCTATTTATTCCAATATAAGACTTTAATCCCCCATTGTTGCCCAAATCTATCTCTAAGAGCAATGATTTTAAGAATCTTTAATCTAGATTATGACGAAATGTTTCGCATGTGAAAAAGTTTCCATGTTTTTTGTCCAGTGGTTTTGGAGAAAAACAATATTATGGAAGATATTTTCCTGTAAATTCAAGTGTTAAAATGTTCTACCACACTGAGTCCCAAACCTACATGTGGTGCCATGATTTGAACAATTAAGAGTGTACACTATGACAGAAACTTTATTATGTACATATTTTTTCATTATACATGTACGTCTGAATAGACACACACATATATCTATATTTCCAATAAATTTTCCCCGTGATTCTTTACAAAATAAAATGCAGGTCATTTTATCATGAACTACATTACATATGCACCACGAATAAGCATGAATATCTCCATTGTTACGTCATAATACTGCTCTTGATGTCACAAAATATAGTGTTCTGTTTTGTTTAAATATGACAGTTGAATTGCCTAAACTTATGGCAAGTCATCAGAAAAATAATGTAAATATAAGAAATGAATTTAATTTTTGAAGATTCATGAGAGATATAAACTACAACGCTTCACGCGCGCCGGCATATTTATCATGAAGCGCTAACGCCCTTCATGAAATATGCTGGCGTGAAGCGTCGTAGTTCATAACCTCATGAATCTTCAAAAACTAAATTCATTTCTTAATAAATTTCATGTGTTCTTTTGTCCTACCCTCCGGTTAGTTTTATTTGACTTAACCCACAGAAAAATTCTCATTCGTCTTTCAGTCTAGCTATTTATCATTGTCCGTCTGTCAGTTTGCTTTTCTGTCAGTTTGTAACAAAAAACTTTCACATTTTTTAAATGCATTACCTAAACACCATTCAGTATTCATGACTCTGACTTAGAATTTTGACCTATTTATGAACATTTTTATTTGTGCTTCAGAAGAAATAGGGCTTCTATGTTTTTTCCCTGAAAATTACTTTTGACAAGTCTTTTCAAATTCTTTTATGATATTTGACCTCCTGACTTTGATCTTTCGATGCAGTTTTGAAGAACTTCAATTTTGACCGTCACCTTTGTCTATTCAATAATTCATAATTTTATTTATGATCTATAAAGGACAAACAAAAAAGCATTTACAATATTACATCATTTATTGCATCCCCAGAGTAAAACACTGAAAGGGGATGCACATCTTTTAATTTGCTAGATTCCAATATATTCAATATGAAAATTCAGCCTCCTGCATTGGCCCAAATATACCACCGGGAATTGATTTTCACAATATAGAGTCTACGTTATCTCAAGATCCTTTCACGCATATGTTTACATTATTTAAGTCCTTTTTTTCGAAGTAATATTCCTTAACACAAAGAAAGAAAACTCATACTTTTTTATATTCAATATGTATGTTTTTGGTGCGATGTTATTTTAATTAAATTCCTAGAAATAATCTGAGTTCAACAGGCTTATAGAAAGATATTAAGGGTGCATACAGATAAGGCATTTATCACTTTCAGATATTTTTTTATGAATAAGTAAATATAAGGGAAACAATGAAAAGTGTTTACAAAATATGTTTTAAAAGATGTTTTATTCTATACAGAAATGGAAGTGGCAAAGAGTTTCCGTTATTGCGAGGTAAACTCTCTCTCTCTCTCTCTCTCTCTCTCTCTCTCTCTCTCTCTCTCTCTCTCTCTCTCTCTCTCTCTCTCTGAGTGTGTGGTGTTGTTTGTTTTACTAACCCTTGCATAAATGCATGTACATGTGTAATCCTATAGCCCAAAGATGAAAGGGTTTGGGATGAACGACCTATATCCAAAAAGTTTTTGTCTAGATCCGGTAAGTCTTATTTTTTATACAATTCAATAAAAATTAAAGAATTTCTAAATTTATAACAAATTATGTTTACATCTTGCTGATAAGTCATTTAAAATATTCCTGGCATTCTATGCTAATCTTTGAATATGGTTGACTTTAATATTGATTTTTCAATTTTCCAGACATTAGTTATTTAGTTTGAAATATAGATAACTAGAATAAAATCATTATCTCAGTTTTAATAATATACAATTATTGCTGTTTTTGAGGTCAATACAGTGGTTTAGCCATCTGAGGAGTACAATACTCACCGAGCCCGAAGGGCGAGGTGAATATTGTACTTCGAAGATGGCTAAATCATTGTATCGACCGAAAAAACAGCAATAATTGTTTTATTATATGATTCACTGATAAAATTATACAGCTCGTTACATGTTCGCGTTTAATTAAGTCCTAGCCAAATACAAGAGAGAAGAAAAATTAAAATGTATAAATAAACCTTACTAGTTGTAGCAATTTGAAATGTTTTTATCAATTTTAGTTGCCATGAAAAAAATTATAATGTCAGTCTTTTTTATATGGTAGATTTTGAAATGAAGGAGTATTATCTAAAAATTGTTGTTCAGTAAAAGCGTTGGTTGGGGTCCCTGCATCCGCTCTTACCACCCTCACCCGAAAATATATATTCGCCTATGTTTTGTTCACATAAAAAAAATTCATAGTCATTTAAATAGCTTTCCAAAATGTTTTGTATCAATTTGGAATTTCCCGATTAATTTTTAGATCAATGTAGGGGAAATAAATCCTTGTATACACCTGGAACGTCACATGCAGGTCAATACAACGTAGTATTTTTCTAACATAAATGGATCTCAGCCAATCAGAGAGATGGAAATTATTCAGTCATATAATAAAATGTTTTAATTTCACCACGTCGTGCATCATAGTCCCTTAAAAATTTAGGCCTTAATATATTTCATTCCCTTCTCACAATTGTAACCCCCCCCCCCAAATATTGGAGAATTATATGCCAACCCACCCACCCCCCACCCCAACAAAAAAACCGCTTCAATATATAGGAAAATATATGAGGGGGTATTTTTTGTTTATTTATTTAATTTTTGCTATTTATTTCTCAACTTTTGTTTGTTTTTGTTTTGATTTTCAAAGTGGAAACTGCTTTTGTACTAAATAATAGTGTAAACAAATATAATAAATTTAATCAATAAAGACATTTCTTAAAAGTTTGGTAATAGAATTCAATTTAACATCGGGTTTTACAGCTGTATAACATGTACTTTAAAGCTCACCTGAGCCGAAGGCTCAAATGAATAATTCTTATCAAAATGTTTCCGGTGTCTGCAGCTGTTTGTCTCTGTCTGTCGTGTGTTACCTGTAAACTTTTCACTTTTTTTCTTCTTCTCAAAAACCCCTTAGCAAATTTTAACCAAATTTACCACAAAACATCCGTGGGTGAAGAGAATTTACTATCATTTACGGGAAGCACCATGTCCTCTGTAACTGGGAAATAATAGGGAATCCGTGAACATTTGATAGCATCCTTTAAAAATCATCTTCTCAAGGACCACTCTGCCAGAAAAATAATGAAAATTATGCGTAGGCTTCATTACATGTTGTAGATTTACATTAATATGAACATTACCTGTGACAAGACTCTTTTACGTAGGATTTTATAGAAAATATCTCTGAAAATCTTCTCAAGAACTGCAAAACCGTAATTAGTCATATTAATACAAAAACTTCTTCAAGCAGTGTGAATTGTTCAAATCATTACCCATAGAAAAAGGTGGACTCACTTCGGGGGTCATAATTGTTCATAGTAATATAAAGGAAAAAATCTTGAAAAACTTTTTCTCAAGAACAGCAATGCCATTATTCGTCATATAAATACAGAAGCATCCTCAAGTACTGTGCTTAAATAATGACCCTAAGGGGTAGTACACCACAACAGGGGATCAGAGTTTCAAATAGGAATATAATTAGTAAAGCAAATATCTTTATCAATCTTCATCTCAAGAGCAGCAGAACCATGATCAGGTATATTATATGGATTCATCCTCGGGTAGTGTATGTTGAAGTTTGTTTAAATCAAGTCTCCTGGGTTAGGTTTGGACAAAAATGGGAATTAAAAGTTTTACAGGGGAAAATGTGAGGAAGTCTTTTAATTTTTTTCCAAGAACAGAAAGGTCATGATAAGTCATATAGAGAAATCCTCGGGTAGTATACGCTGAAATTTGTTCTAATCGTTCCAATCATGACCCCTTTGGGTAGGGTAAGCCAAAATTTGTGATCAAACACATGCAAAAGCGAAATAAAAGAATGGTGTTCGATATCTTAGTTACAGTGATGCAGGTATTTATGGTACATTGTAACTGTTTTGTTTGTGAAAAATATGAAGATAACGAACATTACTTAAGCTCAACAATCCATTCGAACAGTACAAATTAGGAGTGGAACAAACACGGATCTCTAAAAAATTAAAGATGGGATCAGTTGCCAAGGAGAAGTCCTGTCTTGTCTGTCCATCATATAAAAAATAAATTAAGAAAGATAGCGGTGAAGGTTGAAGCTTATTAAAACTGCATTGAACTTCAAAACCAAGTTCATCACCTCATATATAATATAACAATCCGAAAGACATCACAAGTCAAGAACATTTGAAAAAAATGCAATAGTTCTATCTCTTCTGAAGAAATTAAAAAAAAAGTTTGTTAAGTAGGTTAAACTTCTAGGTCAAGGTCATGAATTCAGAAATGATTGTCCTTTCAGAAAGGTATTGTTGTAGGTAATGTATATGTAAAATGTGAATGTACCATCTTTTCTCATTTAAAATTTATCACAAAAAAAGTCAAAGTTCAAGGTCAAGTTCACATGGTCAGAAAGCATAAGGTATGGTAATGAAAATTTAAATATGAGAGGCCAGTTTTTTTTTATTTAAAGTTTAAAAAAATATTAATAAATAGGAAAGGTCAAGGCATCTGGGAAACAAACATAACACATTTAAATCCGCTCACAGATAATGCACATATGAAATATGAACATCCAATCCTTACTGACTCAAAAGTTATGACCAAGTTAAAAAAAGAAATTAAATGTTTTGAAAAGAAGGCATAACTTCGAGGGCAGAGTGTTTATTTGGAAGAGTCTTGTAACGGGTAATGCACATGTGAAATATTAAAGCTTCATCTTCCTTCATTCAAAAATAATGATTAATATTGAAGTTTTGCTGGCAAACGCACAGCAAAAAAATGAGATTGTATAAACCCTTGCTTTTGAAAAAATGAGGGAAATAAGAATATATAGGGAAAATAATCTGTTGATAAGGAACAGAGGGGGCAAAGTAACTCAGGTGAGCGTTATGGCCAATGGCCCTCTTGTTCTTTTTTTGTTATCTAGATAGAAAAGTGCATTCGGATTTCTATGCGAAAGAGCTAAAGTTAGCCTGGATTATTTTCCTCACATCAAATATATGCAAAAAATGATAAAACTTTTCGAAAGTAAGCTGAAAAACATCGAAGCTAGATACAAGTTGGAGTCTGAATGGTCACTCAGTGAAACAATGGAGGTTATACTTCACATACCATCAGATATATCTGAAGAAAATAAAAGATTGTTGCCTACCGAGATTGGTAAGTTCACTGTCATAAAAACGGTCTATTTTCGCATTGAGTGTTCTTTATCGATCATTGTTGAAGTGAAATGTATATATAAAAGCCATTTTGTGTAATATTCCAGGAGAGAATGAATTTCATGTGGATATTGCAGATATATGGCCAGCCTCTGTTCTGATTTATTTTCAAGGACAAAAAGAAAGCCTTGAACTTATCAAAAAGGTATGAAACTAATGATGATTAAAAAACAATTTGATTTTAATAACACACTAGCCAGCAATATATTTACTCTTAGCTGTCTTTGATAACAGTCGATAACACAACTTGATATCTCCTAAACACATCTTATTCTAAATGACATGTACATATACTAAGATAAAATGGGGGTACAAACATGTAAATTAGATTTAGCATTGAATTCTTTTTTTATTAAATTAATTGAATACCGGGCATTGACGACTCTTATATTCTTAGTCCTTATAAAAAATTTGGTAGGTTTATCTTCAAACTGGTATTTAACCAGTTAACTAGAGACTCTAACATAGTACTATTCTGATGTTAAAATGTTATTCTATTTCTTACTATTCCACTTTTTTATCAATAGTTCATTAATCAAAATGAAGTAACTGAATAAATTAACTATTCACCTTGATACAGTGGCACAGTCTACTATTCGACTGTTGTAATTCCAACTTTTTACTATAAATACGTCATTAAATGCTTCCCAAATCTGCAAAACACGCTGACCAATCAGAAAACATTTTGTACCTGATCATCGACAAATCGCAGAAGATATAATATTACGGCAAAGAACAATCCCTAAGCATTGGAAATAGTGTGGCTGTTTTAATCCATTATAATTAGTTGTCTTCGATAATGTTTGTTCTTTAATGTAGATATACACATGTAAACTAAATAGATCTGAAGTGGAAAGCTGTTTTCTATATTTTCATTATAGTGAAAGTTATCGCCTTTGTCGTTTTTAATTACTAATTGTATGCATAAACATAAATACTTAATTAGTGTTGAGTTCCAATTAAAGTTATCAATAATAATCATTGTATGTTTCTTAAGGTGAATTGATAAAAGTTTGTCGATTGGAAGCTTGGTTAGTGTTTAAATTAGTTTGTAAATATGTAATCAATATGATTGTATTATAGATGGTACTTGGGATATATAGGTTTTTACTATCACGATTATGAGAGAGGTTCTAGAGGTTAAACTCGAAAATCCCGAGGCCTGTTCAGCAGAGCGAGCGTTCGTGAGCGCTCGCCAAAATTCCTTATACCTCCAATAGTAATTTTGGCGAGCGCTCTGCTGAACAGGCCTCTGGTAATGTGCATGTAAGTGTGCGGACTCCCTAACAAAAAAACCTATAGTTAACTATAGTTAGCATTGGTCGACTCAGAAATGCGCATCCGCATTAAACAGGCACGTCCTAAACATCTTAATGACGCTATACAATTGGTTATCGAACTAGAAGCTTACAAGAGAGCTGAGAAAGAGACCTATGCGCGCCCAGCTACTGTTGAATCCGTGGAAGGAAGGACTGTCTCGATGCTTCAGGAATTGAGCGCAAAGTTTTAGTCTTTGCAGAGAGAACTCAGAGCCATGAAAGCAGAGCTCAGTGAAAGTTCACAACGATCCCGACCATGGAGAGCAAAGCAAACATTCGAGACACAGAAAATATGTTACTTTTGTCGAAAACCCGGATACCTGCGCAAGGATTGCAGAGCTTTTCAGGCGCAACAAAGACGCCAAGTCTTCCAGCAGAAGTGTAAAAACCGCAGTCAAAGCTTCCATAGGAGCAAGTCCAGTCGGAATGGACGCTGACCTATTCATTGAAATGGACGTCTGTGGGGTGAAGGCGAAGATATTGGTAGACACATGTGCGACAGTCATCCTAATATCTACAGAACTGATGAGTAGAATTCCAGAAGAGGACCGACCCAGGCTTGACACATCAGTCGTGACATATCAGTCGTGACATACTGGATGCTGGTGGCAACTGTCTCCAGATAAGCGGTAAGGGAACCTTTAAAACACAGATAAGGGGTTTCTCTTGCAAACTGGGTGGTGTCGCTGCAGACCTGCGGAATGATGGAATTATGGGCCTTGATTTTCTGGAAGAAAAAAATGCACAATTGATGTATCAAAAAAGAAAATATCTGCGTAGTAAAGGCTGAGAGAAAGAAAAAGGATAAATCTGCGTTTCATGAAAAACTTGAAGAAGTAGTACCGATCTGACAGAGGACCAGATATCCAAAGTGAGAGAATTTTTGCGACAACACACCCATGCGTTTGCAATGCGCGCCCCAGAAAGAAACCTCTGCGACGTGTTCCTTTCCATGCTGCCGAGGAAATAGACAAGCATGTAAATGATACGCTGGAAAAAGGGGTCATTTCTGGAAATGCTTGGTTTTCAACACTGATCTTATGTTTGGGATACTGGCAGGTATCCGTGAAAGAGAAGACCGACCCAAGGCAGCATTTGTTACGCGCAAAGGCCTTTTCCAGTTCCGTAAGATGCCATTCGGACCTGCGCGCCAGCCACCTTCCAAAGGTTAATGGAGACCGTCATGGTTGGTCTTCAATGGGAAATTTGCCTGATTTATCTGGACGATGTAATTGTTGTAGGGCGAACATTAGAAGATATGATTGTAAACCTGACAAAAGTTTTTGACCGCATTGTAGATTCCGGACTCAAATTGAAACCTAAGAAATGTGTGCTCTTTTCGCGCAGAGTACTTTTCTTGGGCTACTGTGGTTTCATCAATATTCGTTAAGCACCAATTTTCGTGGATTTCGTTGTTGAGCAGATCCACGAATTCAAATGTTCATTGAATTACGAAATATGTCATTCATTTGTATAGGCAATGCTTTTGTCCACGAAATTATGTATCCTCGAAACTGTCTGTTTTACAAAATCCACGAAAATTGATGCCGACGAAAATTGATGAAACCACAGTATGTAATCACGGAAGATGGAATCGCCACTGATCCCGAGAAGGTAGAAGCTATAATAAGTTGGTTAGAGCCCTGTATCGTATCTGAGGTGCGCTCGTTCCTAGGTATCTGCGGGTACTATAGGAGAGTTATAGGAGAAGTTTGCCGAAAATGCAAAACCTTTAACCAAACTGACGGAAAAGGGAAATGCCCTAGTCAATCTGGACACAGGAGTGCCAAGATGCTTTCAACTGTCTTAAGACTCTCTGTGTAACATCTGTGTAATGCGCCAATGTTAGCCATGCCCGATTGCAAGCAGCCATTTATCCTTGACACAGATGCCAGTAATTCGCTATAGGAGCTGTTCTGTCCCAGTGCATAGATGGAAAAGAACGCCCTATTGCATACGTCAGCCGAACTTTGACTAAAGCGGAGAGACAGTATTGTGTCACGAAGAAGGAATAGAGAGACAGATAGCGCGCTGGCTAGAGACTCTGAGTGTGTTTGACTTGAAGATCGAGCATCGTCCTGGTACTCAACATCGGAACGCAGATGCGTTGAGCTGCATTCCCTGTAAGCAATGTGGTTTAACGGTAGACTGGGAGACACAAAGCCCTAATGTTGTTGTTGCGCACGTTATCCAGGATGACCTAGGATCTTTACGCAGCTTGTAAGATGCTGATGCACAGTTAATAAGGTGAAAGATTGGATACTAGCCAGCAAACGACCAGAGTTCTCAGAGATATGTGGTGAAGGTGGAGTACTAAAATCTTTGTGGTCGCAGTTTAATTCGTTGGAGATATCGGATGGTACTCTTTACCGAAGATGGGAAAATCCTAAAAAGTCGAAGAAATTACAGGCCATACTCCCGATGTCTGAAAGGCGAATGACACTTGCAATGAGCCACAAAACAAGTCCTAAGGGCACCTTGGTGTGCGCAAGACCCTTGGGAGGATAAGACAAAGATTCTATTGGCCAGGGCTCCAGATGGACGTGAGGGCATACATTGCGGGATGTGATAAGTGTAGCTGAAGTAAAGCTCCACTGAGAAACAAGAGAGCGCCAATGAAGTTTTCAATGATTGGTGCTACCGACATTCTTGGGGAATTACCGGTGACAGAGAGAGGCATCAAATACATCTTTGTTGTCGCAGATTACTTTTCTAAATGGACTTAGTGTTTCCCCATGCGCAACATGGAAGCAGCAACTGTTGCACGCATCATCGTGGAACAAGTGATCACGCGCTTTGGTGTTCCATATAATATCCAGTCAGACCAGGGGGGCAGTATGAAAGCAAGTTGTTCTCCGATATGTGCAGGCTGCTAAAAGACAATAATGGTAATCTAACAACCAAGCTATATGATAAACGTGATGACTTTAACTTTTCTATCGTCAACTTCCCTTACTTATGCAGCAATATACCTTCATCACCTGCATACGGAGTATATATTTCATTTGATTCGATACGCAAGAGCATGCTCTACGTATGAACAATTTCTAAAACGAGGTAGATTATTGACAAGCAAGTTGATGAAACAAGAATATCAGCAGTTTTGTTTAAAGTCATCATTTCGTAAGTTATATGGTCGATGCAATGACCTTGTCAGCAAATACAATTCATCATTGAGTCAAATGCTGACTGACGTTTTTCATACCAATTGTTAGTCCATTATTTATACACTGAATTGACGACGGATTTTTTCCGCTATTTCCTGATCATGACAAGGAGCACACGGCGGTGTGACCGGTCGGCAAGGGATGCTCACTCCTCCATGGCACCTCATCCCACCTCTGATGTTTCGGGGGTCCGTGTTTGCTCTGCTCTTATTTTGTATTGTTTATGGACTTTAAGATTGAATACTGTTCGTTATCTCCATATCCTTCTTGGTATAAAGAAAACTCGGACCACACCATACCATCCCAAGTCAGATGGTATGGTCGAAAGATTTAACAAGACGCTCGCCAGTATGCTGCGCTCGTATGTTGACGAACATCATCGAGACTGGGACGCGCATTTACTATACTTGATGATAGCGTACCGCTCCGCTGAGCATGAAACCATTGGTTGTACTCCTAACTCGTTAATGCTAGGTCGAGAAGTGGCGACCCCTTTAGACATCATTTATCAAATGCCGAGCGACGCAGACCAAGTACCTCAAAACCAATGGGCATGGGAGTTGAAAGAAAACTTCAGGAAACTCATAATGCAGTTCGGGCATATGTACAAGGGGGAATGCACAAACAGAAGAGGTACCATGACGCCAAACTATATTGGGAAAAGTTTGAAAAAGGCGACAAGGTGTACGTGTTTTTCCCAACAAGAAAAGTTGGTGCTTCATCGAAACTGACCAGCTACTGGAGGGGTCCATTTGGAATACTGCGCCATATCTCTGACCTTCTATACGAAGTTAACTGTGGTCACCGTGGTAAGTCTCAAGTAATTTACGTGGATAGACTTCGACTGCAAAATCAACAAGTTCTCTATGGGGAGACTGAGTAAGACGGAGACGTAGCTAATACAGAGGATGTGAGGATGTGTTTGTTGCGAAAGAAGAAAACCAAGTGAATAAGAATCCAAGTCCTACTGAGGAGGAAATTGGAGATAAGCGCAAACGCCATCCTCCCCGCTGGCATGAAGACTACGTTTTATAAGTTGTACACTAAGAAGTACCCAGGGCAAGAACGCGAACCTGACTGGTTCTATTTACCATTGGGTTAAGCAAAATATTGCATTTTGCTTTGCCTAATGGTAAATGTTGAGAGTTGCATTGTTATTGCTATTCTGATGAGTAGAATATTTATATTTTATTTTACAGAATGGTGATTGCAATGAAGAATTTGTTTTTGTGTGTGAATAGCGTTTGATAGATTTTTTTAAATGCAGTTGTATGTTTTCTTATGCGAGGACGCATAAAGCTGGGGTTGTGGTGATGAAGCGGAAAGCTGTTTTCTATCTGTTCATCATAGCGAAAGTTATCGCCATCGTCGTTTTAAATTACTTATTGTATGCATAAAAATAAATACTTAATTAGTGTCGAGTTCCAATTAAAGTTATCAATAATTATAATTGTTTGTTTCTTTAGTTGAATTGATAAAAGTTTGTCGATTTGAAGCTTGATTGGTGTTTTTATTAGTTTGTAAATAAATAATCACTATGTATTACAGATGGTACTTGGGATATATAGGTTTTTACTGGAACTATTATGAAAGAGGTTCTAGAGGTTAAACTCGAAAAACCTTGTAATGTGCACCTAAGTGTGCGGATTTCCCTGCTTATATTGTACTGTGATAAGTGTGCGGTCATCCCTACTTATTGCTTGACAGAATGTGTGGTCATACCTGCTATGTAATTAGCATCTCTTAGTAGCAAGTGGGCGGACATCCCTGCTTGTTGCAGCGCAAGATCAGGTGTGTGAACATCTCTGCCTGCATCTTGTAGTAGAGCATTGGTGTGCTGACATCCCTGTCTTTAGTCTAGAACCGTGTCTTAGTGCCAAGTACATTGTATGCGGTCAACCCTGCTTGTCACTGCGCAAAGGCAAGTGTGTGGTCATCCCTGCTTGTTTCCTGTGGAAGTGTGTGGACTTCCCTGCCAGTGTCACTTGTTTGCTACCAGTAGAAACCTTATATACGCAGTACCACGTGATTAAGACTGCGTATTGTACTCATTTGCAGCATCTCAAGGCTATCCGTTTTTATCAAGGTTATCTGCGGGGGTTCACAGGTAGTGACCTCCCTTGCACGTTACAGATCTAGAACTATTGGTTTTAAAATTTGAAATAATCCTTGGAATATCTTTTTTTTAATTTATATCAAAAATCTTCACGAGGTGTCATCAGCGACAAATCTACAAAGGAAATTGCCCAAAAATATGGACATTTTTTCAAAAGAAATAACAAGGAAAATCCTATAACTACTTTATAATCACAGTAATCATCCATAATAATAATCAGAGGATGTTGACATAAAATTCATCATTTAAATAAATAGCTGCTTACAACTTTGGGATATCACGCATGCGCCAAGGACATACTAAATACCAATTTACCCAATTATACATAAACAAACACCATTTTAAATTATGTGATCGTGTAGACACTGTTGTAGGGCTGGGTATTGGCCCGAGATTTCGTATTGACGTTACGCGCGATGTTGGTGTTATTTTACAAATTTTAGAATCTGACCTATTAAACTCATTTTAATTTTAAAATTAAATTTAATTTTAAAAATATACTCGCAGTATGGGTGAATTTGGTATGATTGGAAAGATTTTCAACAGAACTACCTGGTTCTAGTTAGAAAATAACATTTAAATAATTTTTTAACAAAAAGTATAATTTTAAAACGCAAATAAAGGGTATTTTAAGCGTGTAACGCGTTACATTTTTTAGCAGGGATCGCGCATTTTTCGTGTGGAGAGCGTTCATGAGTAAATCTAGAATTTTCATTTTCCTCACAAAATAAGAGCAAAACCATGTCGTTTGTGTCTTTATTAACAATTTTGCAGTAAATGTTGGCAAGAAATAGAAACAGTAGTTTTTACAGATGAAAAAATCTGTAACGCTTTTAATTAAAAACGTGCATATGAATATACACAATAAATTTACTCATTTACACGAAAGTTTATATAGAAACAAATTATATCAAAATGATGTGCTTTTCCTATAGATTTGAAATATTTCATTGATGTTGATATCAAACTGCATGCTTTGGAGCCAGTAATTGGATTACAAGTTCAACAGAAATGTCCAGCGTCTAAAATGACATGTAAAGATAAGACAATGCTTTTTTGAGTCGTTAAGTTATATTGCTTTCCCAATCGACTACTAGAATAATTAAATGTTCACAATGTGCTACTCTAAACGTTTAGATTGAATGTCAGATTAATAAATTTACTCCATTAATTAATATTTTATGCAACATTTAGGAGGTTCAACATATTTGTCCAGTGGACGTTCTTGACGCGTAAAATTCGCTCTGCTTCAACGTCAATACATGGAAATGCGTTTAAGACTGCTTCGAGTAATTAACAAAATTTATCATACATATACAAATGAAAAAGCGCCCTTTATGTTCATTAGTTGAATTATAAATAGTCTATGACTTTTTAAAACTTCTATTTCAAGTACAAAGAGATAGCGATGGGGTACCAGTCCAGCAAGTAACACTACAAGAAACTTTACGGCAATTTTTCTATAACGCTATGAAAGCGTAACGTCAAACGTCACCAACATCGCGCGTAACGTCATTGCGTTGTTTTCAAGGTAATAAAAAATGGCTTTTTGGTACTATATTTTCTTTAATTTACATGCAGAATGTACATACTATGATAAGTAACTAATCTTTTTGATTTTACTTAAGTTATGCTCTGAAATGTTCCCAAAAAACAACTTCTGACTTACTGCTTGGCTTAATAACAAACTTTAATAAGTCCATTTTTATTTTTAATGACAAAATTTCTAAATCTAAGCATATTGCCAATATATCGATATTACAAAATCGTATTGCGATACGATATTTTTTGTCATTGTATTGCAATATATTGAAATATCGATATTATTGCCCAGCCCTACACTGTTGTAAACTATCCAAAACAATTAGTTGATAAAAATATCAGTCTGAAACAGCGAAGAAAATAACTTTTTCGGCAACACACATCGTCTGATTACAATTGGGGACCATATCAAATCATAACTTGAAAAAGGAAATCTATTCAAGAAAATATAATATTTAAAACATTGCGATTACACAAGCACAAGCATTACATTTGTCACATCAATAAGTTCCCAATTAAAGAAGTGTGTCGCACCGAAAGGTTTTTTTTTTTAATTTAAAAAATTCATATGAGACATGATTTTTCTATACATGAATAAGCTATGAAAATCATTTTTTGCCCAAGACAATTAAACATTTGTTTTGATTGGAAATTGAGATAAATATTCTTGTTATTGATGCGAAAATGTAAATGCATCTAACTTTGAAACATGTTTTAAAGTATATAAAAAGATAAATACTTACAAAAATTAAAATGAATAACGAAGAATACGAAAAAAAAAATATCAGTTAATACTTTTTCCATTTGAGGATAACTATCTTCAAGCAATATTTTACTTGTATTAAATTTACCTATCCCAAATCTGATAACGGAAAATCCTGACTTCATTGCCTGAGTATTGGTTTTAAGCAAGATTCAAGTATTTGGGGTATAACAACTGACTTTTAGATCCTATATCAATATAAACAAGAGATGTTTGTAAAACACTTATGCCCCCTCCCCCATAAATAGGAATTTTTCCAAGTCCAAAAGGGCATAACTCTGTCAATTATTGTGTGATCGTACCCAAAACATAACTGGACCTAAATATTCATCTGACAAATCTGTATATTAAATTTTATTTCAATATGCGCAACCTCTCTGTAGTAATCCGGAATTCTGTAGATTTGTAAGTTTTCGGTTTTAGAGGTTATTCATGTTACTTCCGTAATAAATAGTTTGTAACCGCATGGCTGAGTTATAAATCTCATTTATTCGAGTGAATACACAACATATCTGGCGACGAGGATGGCCACTGGACGTATTGGAAGAATCGATGTGTTCGATCCGGCGATCGAAACATGGACAGCGTACGAGAAAAGGCTGGATAATTTCTTCACAGCAAACACAGTGGACGACAACAAAAAAGTTCCCGCGCTACTGAGCCTCGTGGGCCCCAAAACATACGCATTGTTAAGAGACTTAACAGCATCCGAATTACCTAAGGCCAGGACATACAAGCAACTTACGAAAGCGCTGAAGGAACATTATTCTCCAAGACCGTTGGTTATAGTAGAAAGATTTAGATTTCACAAGCGAGACCAGCAGGAGGGGGAGAGCGTTCGTGAGTACATTGCAGCTCTACGTAAACTTAGTGAGTTTTGTGAATTTAAAGACGTCCTTAATGACACATTACGGGACAGATTTGTGTGTGGACTGAAAAACGAACACATTCAAAAGAAACTTCTCTCGGAGAAAAACCTCACGTACCAATCTGCGCTCGAGATAGCCATTGCGATGGAGACGGCGACAAATGACGCCCTGGAAATTCAAAGGAAACACCTTTCCACTACGCCCGGTGTCCACAAGCTAAAGATGATATTGAACAAGAACTTAAAACACTTGATACTGAAGAAAGCTTTCTTCAGTCACATACTCTCGAAATTTTAGAAGGAAATGTGGAAGTCACTCCTTATATAGGACAAGGGGATAAACTTTACCCAGGTCATTTAATAAATGACTCGGAAACAAAGGCAAAAAGTGATACCGCATCTAGCAATAGCGAAGATGCGAATTCCAACATACAATACGGAACACTAGGGGCTTTCCTGGAAGAAATAACTAGCAAAGGTCTATATGGTATAACATGTCGTCACGTTATTCCACATGAAAACGAAAAAGTGTTCATGGAAATACAAAAAAATGATCTACCATCAGAAGTTGGTCAATCTGTATACACCTCTGAGAATGAATGGGAGGACTTTGCTGTGTTTGAAGTGAAGGATTTCCTGATAGATCAATGCATTAAAACTTTCCATAACGACGATGACGAAGAATGTAATGTTGAAGTTCATCAGGGAAATGACTTAGATAATTGGATTGTTCATAAGAAAGGAGCAAGGACAGGATGGACTACAGGACGTATTCTGAGTCGAGAGTGCTATTCCAGTTTAATTCCTGTTAAACATGGGGTGTTCCTTGTCGGTGGTTTTGATGAAGATTACTTTGCACGCACTGGAGACAGTGGCTCTGTTGTGTTCATGCGGAAGTCAAGTCAGTCAACCGTGTCAGTGCTCGGTATGGTCTTCGGTGGAATGGAAAATATTTATAACGACCATCAGCCAGAGATAGAGAAATCTACAATGTGTTTTCTTTTAAATCATGCTTTGAGTAACTTGTCCGTTCAAAATGGCTTAGAATTACAATTTGTACCCCGTAAACAAAGTTCAAGCGATTCCGACTAATTTGTAAATTTGATTATAAATATCTTTTGTTTTTTTATAACCATAACAAAGCTGGAAGTATGTTGTACCAATACCTTGTACGAGGGTCATTAAAAAATACGTAGACAATGTCCTCCATCATCATATCATTCTTACGAAAATTTAGATCAACACACTTTTATATGTGAAAAACATTTATTTTGTCAGTGTTTAAAGTTTCATTCCATTTGTTTTAATGGAACTCGTGTTAGACAATTTTAAAAGTAACATATTTTGTCACCACGGAGCATGGTTAACAACACTAAGGCGTCAAAAACAACGTCGAAAATTTTTTTTTAAATTACTCTGCCTTTTCATTTCATCCACTGTTTGTTGCTTCTTCTGGATTCTTGAATCTATAGCCCTTTACACCTAGTTCACTAACAATTGTTTGAGTACCTGAAGTAAAATGAAAATATTTTAAATTGAAAGTTAAATTTCAAATTCTTTATCGCGTAACTCTTATTTTCACAAGTTCCGCAAAAGTGAATCGCAAATCACATTTTATGACGTTGCTAACTCTTTGACAAGATTTTTTTTATAATTTGTTTCTTCGCAGATCGTTCGTGGTCCGATTCCAAGTCTCTAACACTCAAACAATGGTCATTCCCATAATAAACAAATGCATAGCACATTTTGCATCAATTTCCTGGTTCATCAAGCATTCTCAGAGTTTTTATTAAAGGTTTCCCGAATGCAAAACAAAATTTTATCGGTACTACTAGCTCCGTGACGTCCTTCGACGTCATCATTTTTTGCTTCTTTTCATGAAGTCTATCTGCCTTTAAAGATTGATATCTTTTAAACAAAGTGATGTATCACATTTAATTTTAGCATATGAAGTAATTGAACAATTCTAAATTTAAACATTTCAATTTTATTTCATTTAAGAGCCATTTATTAGAGGTATGACTCTAGACATTATAAAGTGTATAATTAGAAAATAGATCAATTTTGACCCTGCTCCGTGACCCCATTTTTTCTGTCTTAAATCTGATAATTTTGATAATTATCAAGATATTTTCCAATTTTTTGGCTCAAATTATTTAAATTCATTGTTACAATATGTGTAAAAAAAAATTGGTTTTAATATGACGTTAAATAAAAAAGTTATGACAAAAGTCTACGAACTTTTTGAATGACCCTCGTGCATACTTTTGGTGTACCGTATATATTAGCCTATAAGTCGGTCCGGCTATAAGTCAGTCGGTTGTATTTTTTTTTTAGGTTAATTCGGAGGGATTTACAATTGACCCGCTTATAAATCAGTACAACATTTGCCAGAATCGTTTGACATTTTAAATCAATGCACTGATGTTTTTAATTGTTTTTTTTATTAATATTTTTCGAAATAACGCTGATATCTAATTTTAAATCATTGAACAAATAAGTGATGCACTCTTAAAATAAAAATAAAACTATTAAAAAGTCAACACTTGTACTATATGTATAATATTTCAATGCATAAACGATTATACCTATTAGGCTTTGTTCTTCAGTAATCGTCGGAAAAATATACGAAATGCTACATTTCACTTTCCAGAAAAAATGCCAAAATCTTTATGATTCGACTATAAGACTTAAATTTCAGTCCAAAAAATCGACTTTTAGGCGAGTATATACGGTATAATTTCACGTCTACCTATCAATTATATGCATAAAATACAAACTGCACGAATAAGCCTTTCTGCACTCAGTTTGAATGTTGAAATGAGGTCTGCAGTTGATGTTAAGAAAAAAAATTAAGTATATTCATTGAATAGTATTGAAGATGTTTAATATATAACCCAATTTTTTTTAATAATGATTATTCGATTGATCGTATGTTAGAATTTTAACTCAAATAGCGATGTCAGCGTATGCCTTTGAAGGGCTTTAAATTTAGACGTGTACTTGGCACTAAGGGTGATTGATCAGTAAGGGCTCTTTATTGCGCCAACTCTTACGTAATGGACATATTGAAAAGGACAATTGTTATCTCAATATTGTTTCTAGTACATGAGAAACGTACAATTTTAGTTCTTTAGATATTTACAATGACAATTATATTTAAAGAAATAACATGCTCTCTGCACTTACTTTTCTCCAATTATGATCACGCTAATATTATAATAATTATATCCTGTAATATTGTATGTATTCATTTTATTTTGACGTGTCTTATATCACACGAATTAAAGAATGCTATGTTACAACGCAAAATATAATAACAACGAAAGAAACCGGGATTATTGCATTTTGCATTATTACATTTTGCGTCGAAATCAACGCAAAGTGTAATAATGCAATTGGATTATTACATTTTGCGTTGTTACACTTTTTTCAGCTCAAAATCGCCCGGAAAGGATAGTGTTTCATACAGACAGAATGTATAAATTTACGACCTTGAACTTTGACCTTTTGACCTCATAATCAATAGGGATCTTTCTTAGGCCACAGGGAGTTGTTATGTAAAATTTCATTGCAAAAGCTCAAGGGATTCTCGAGATATCGCGCGGAAACGAAAGTGTTATAACAGACAGAATTTGCAAATTTACGACCTTGACCTTTTACCTTTTGACCTCAAAATCAATAGGGTTCTTTTTTAGTCCATAGGAATTAGCTATGCAAAATTTCATTGCGAAAACTTAAAGGGTTCTCGAGATATCGTGTGCTAACCAAAGCGTTACAGACAAACAGAATGACGGACGGACAGACGGACGGACGGACGGACAGACCCAAATTGATATCCCCCACTTTTCAAGCGGGGGACAATAAAAGAAAATAAAAAAGGAAAAATAAACATAGGCTTATTCTTAAAATAAATCAGATCTTATAATCTTATGATTTTATTAGCTACATGTATCTAAAATCGGTTAAATATTCAAATCATTGGTGTTGCAAATTAGAAACGTGCGTGCGGGGACTGGTGGTTGTTGTTAGGAGGGGGTGATTTTGTTGTCCAGTATACTTTTGCTCATTGAATGACAAATGCACTGAATCTAAAAAAAATCTATTAACTTGTACTGGCAGGTGTAAATATTTAGCGGGAGCCGGTTATTATTCAATACTGTTTTGAAAACTCTCTCTCTCTCTCTCTCTCTCTTTCTCTCTCTCCAATAATAAAATGGATTGTTTCTGTTTGTCCATAGTTATATAATGATCAACATACGGAGTAAATACCCGAACTCATCCATGCCCCTGCTCGATACACACACATACACTTCTAATTTGCTATATGTAACCAATGTGCACAAGCTGAACTTGCATATCAAGACTTACATGTACGGTCAATCTTTTGTAATCAAAAATATTATTTGTTAGATATATTTAATAAGATTGATTTAAGAATGATTTATAAAAAGGCATGTCAATCAAAGTCACATTAATATTTTGTAAGTACAGTGTATCCAATAAAATGTTAGAAACAAAGCCAGAGATAGAAAAAAAAGATTTAGTTATATCTGTAAAAGCCGTAAAGTCGGTTTCATTGTCATAGTTCAAACAATTTTGTAAAGTGAGTTTCCCCTTTGTTATAATTTTTGCGTTGTAACAATGCTATTACTTTTATAAAACCTTATTCAGAATACATAACATAAGCTTGATGTGGGTGTTCTATTCAATATTCCTAGAAAAATTATACTTAATGTTAAAAGAACTGTTAAAAGAAATGTTAAAAGAAACTAAGAATAACTTTCAATTATATAACAATTTTTACATGGTACCCGATCACGCGTTTCTGAAAGAAATATTTCCAAACATTCGATCACACGAATCAAATAACGTAACAAGACACACACAATTATTTCATCATTATGAGTAGATTGATGATTTATAAATCGTCTTTTGTTCCTGTGGCAATAAGGAAATTGAACTCTTTACCTCTTGACACAAGATAATTCCTACTACAGGTTTCTATATATAAAAAAATATTTACAACACTGACTCCATCTTTTTTCTGTTGATGATTGTTACTGGATTGAAACTCATACCAGATTGAGACACAATTGTGTTTTGAATGAAGATTTATTGAGATGTAACATATCTTACAGTCGATTATGCACTTTCCACAACAAGTCGCATAATGTAAATTCCTTATTTTTCGCGAGTACTTATTATCGCGAATGGGCTCTTCAATGGCAAATTGCGAGAATAATAATTCGCGAATGGACGGTTGATCAAGAGATTTTATATAGATTTCAGCTATATAAAAATAAAAGCGAGTAATCTTATTTCACGTGTGGTTCCTTTCGCGAAATTACGCGATAATAAATTCGACGCGTATATTTAGGAATCTACAGTACGTTTCTTTTTTTCTTGAGCGAAAAACACTACCCCATGAAATGATCTGCCAAATGCTATTTTCAGAATGATTACTTTACTTGTAGACTCTTATGTTCTATTATTGGAAGACGATTTGATCAGCATTTTTGAAAATAAAAGTTAATTTTCAAACGTACAATTGTTTGATATATATGTTTATCTATTCAGATACATATTTGTTAACAAGAACATCATTGACAGCAGCTTTTTCAATAAAAATGGAACTCGTAAATTTACTAACCTTGTCATTAGTCATTTGCAAAATATTTTGTTAAAAACGTTCTGATTGTAGACATAAGTACTCTGAAGTCGCCCCCGAAAAGATCCTTGAGTTTCTGATTGACAATATCTAATATGTTGTTTTTTTAGACCAGGTTTTCCGAACATTCTATTGGAATTCCCATGGGAAGGAATTGCGCCCCGCTATAAGCAAACCTATTTTTGTATCCATGCGAAGTAGACTAGGTGCAAAATCTTATGCGTAAAAAGAAGAAAATACTTGCGGTGGCCTTTAACTCGACATTTAGATATATCAACGACGCAGGCACGTAACAACAGAGGGTGGGGCGGGGGGGGGGGGGGGGGGGGGGGGGCCCCCTACTTTTTTCACCAACATTACCTTTACTATTGAAAATGTCCATTGAAAGGTTGATGGGCCCCCACACTTTTTATCACATTGTAGTGATATCAAGGAAATGTAGTATTGTGTGCCAAAAAAATTGGAAGT